CTTCAACGTGACCTTCTCCTGCACGAGCGCGGCCGTCTCCTCTCGGCGGGCGGGAGCCCCGGGGATGAGGGGCGAGCGAGCCGGCATGCGTCCAGGTCAGTGACCAGGACGAGGCCGAAAGTGAGAAAGGGGCCGCAGCGGCGGCCGCAGAGCTCCTGGGTTCCAAGACGGCCCCAGAAGGGCCCAAGACGGCCCAAGAGGCGCCCAGGAGGCACCAAAATGGCCCTAGGAGTCCCCAAGAAACCCCGAGAGGCTCCAAATGGCCCTCAAGAGGCCCCCAAAAGGCGCCCAAAAGCGCTCCCGAAGGCTTCAACATTACCTCCTACACACCCCCAGGAGTCCTCCAGGATGCCTCCTGCATGCCCCCCAAGAAGCCCAAAAGGCCCCCAAGAGGCTCAACAATTACCTCCAAGACGAGGAGGCCTCGAAGATGCGTCGTAGAGGACCCCATCAAGAAGCCCACGCAATGCCTCCAAGCTGCTTCCAAACCGCGTACGTTTGAACAAGCGCGCTGGGGCGAAAGCGTCCCTCTGACAGCGGGATCGTCACGGATCGGCGGCACTGGCCGGAGGCCTCTACAATATACGTGGTCCATCGGAAATGCTTGATTTTTGCCTTTGGAGGGCCTTCTCAGCGGCCTCTTGGACAGTCGTGTGGGGGTTCTTTGGGTTTTTTTTGGCCCGACTAGGAGCCCGTTTCGGCTGTCCCAAGCCCCGCTTGGCATGTCATGGGTCGCTGAGCCGTCTTGGGGCCCTCATGGAGTCCTCTCCGACCATATAGGGATCCTCCGGTAGCTCCCCCGGGCCCCCTGTGGCTCGTCTCGGGCTGTTTTGGAGCTCTCTTGTACTGCTCGAAACTCTCTTGAGGCTGTCTTGGAGCCCTCTTGGGGGCCTCGTGGACCGTGTGGCGCCGATTTGGGGGACCTTTGGGGCCGGCGTGGCCGCCGATGGAACACAAAAAACAAACATCATAGAAACGTACGTCTTCCCATTGGAAATGCATTTGTTTTGCACCTGGGAGCCTTCTCAGCGGCCTCCTGGACAGTCTTCAGGGAGTCCTGGTAGGCCTTTTTTGGACCCTCTGGGAGCCCAGTTCGGCCTTTCTGGGTCCCTCTTCGCCCGTCATGGGGACCTGAGCCAGTCTTGGGGCCCTCAGGTGGCCCTCTCCGACAATGTACGGTTCCTCCGGTGGCCACCTCGGGGTTTCTGGGTACTCTCTTGAGCCGTGATGGAGCTCTCTTGTGCTGCTCGAAGCTCCCTTCAGGCCGTCTGGGGGGCCTCTTGGGCCGTCTGGGGCTCATTTTGGGAGCCTCTGGGGCCGTCGCGGCCGCTGGTGGGACTGACAAGCAACCACCTAGGACATATACGTGTTTTTTTTCCATCGGTCGTTGCCCCTGGAAGGCCTTCTCGTCGGCCTCTTGGGCCGACTTGAGTGCCTGCGTGGCCGTCTAGGAGCAATATTTGGCTGTCTTCGAGCGCTCGTGGCCCGTCCGGAAGCCATCTCAGTGCGCTCTTCAGCCACCTTCCAGACAACCTGGGGCGTTTTTTTTTGGGGGGGACATGCGCGCAAGGTGGAGCGACCAGCTCTTGGAAGTGAAGACATGCATCAAATTCACTGGGCTGACCGCAGGCGGACGTCACCTGCAAACCGGCAGTGCCGGATTGGACTTCTTCGGAAAGACTCTCTGGATCACCTCTCAGTGAGCTGCAGATCAAACAATGCGATGCGATGCGATGCGACGGCCCTTGGAGGCAGGAGGGGCGGCCCGCCTGCTCCGGCAGTGCGCCGGGCCTCAACAATAATGAACATCATATGATTACAGAAGGCAATGAATGACAGTGCAAGATGGGAAGATGGGTGAGACAACTGTGAAAAGACAACAGCACGTAATCAGTCTAGAAGACGTAATCACTTTTCTGACAAAGTGACTGCCTGGCCCTGCGCAAGCCTTGGCAACACAGAACCGTGGCAGTGCTACTTATTCACGCCAGGACGTGCAGAATGCTGCATTGAACGTGCCCTTCGACGCGCCAAAACGGCAAGCCGATAGCGGAAACCTTGAAAGAAAACGCAGCAGGAGGATCAACAGGATCAGAAGTACGAGCCGCTGCTGGGACACCGCGGCAGTACTGATGGTCGCCCACCGCCTCGAGCGGGCGGCCCGCGGAACTCACCGTGCGCCGCGTTGCTTCCGCGGCGTGGCGGCGTGGACCTCGCTGCGCGCCGCCTGCTCCAGGGGCACCCTGTGAGACGACGCGCAGCGAGGCGCGACGCCGCGGGCGCGACGGGCTGCACAGGCGCGAGGCCCTGCTCCACCACGGAGCGGAAGTCGTCGGCCTCCATCCTCTGAGCAGGGTCGGCCGCCAACATCCCAGTAAGCATCGCGCTGCAGAGGGGCAACAGAGAGCTGAGCTCTGGGCGGCAGCGCTGCTCCAGGAAGGTTTTGGAAGGTCTCAGGGAAGTTTGTTCGAAGGATCTAGAAAACGTAATCAGTTATCCGACAAAGTGACTGCCTGGCCCTGCGCAAGCCTTGGCAACACAGAACCGTGGCAGGATGCCACTTATTCACGCCAAGACGTGCAGCATGCTGCATTGAACGTGCCCTTCAACGCGCCAAAATGGCCGGCCGATAGCGAGAACTTTGAACGAAACCACAGCAGGAGGATCAACAGGATCAGAAGCACGAGCCGCTGCTGGGACACTGCGGCAGCACTGATGGTCGCCCACCGCCTCGAGCGGGCGGCCCGCGGACCTCACCGCGCGCCGCGTTGCTTCCGCGGCGCGGCGGCGTGGACCTCACTGCGCGCCGCCTGCTCCAGGGGCACCGTATGAGACAACGCGCAGCGAGGCGCGACGCTGCCGGCCGCTGGGCGCCGGCGGCCCGGCGGGCGCGACGGGCTGCACAGGCGCGAGGCCCTGCTCCACCACGGAGCGGACGTCGTCGGCCTCCATCCTCTGAGCAGGGTCGACCGCCAACATCCCAGTCAGCATCGCACTGCAGAAGGGCAACAAAGAGCGGAACTCTGGGCGGCAGCGCAGCCCCAGCAGGCCGGCCACCGCGGTGGGCATCTGGAAGAAGGTCTGGATGCTCTCGGCGAGCCATGTGTCTTCGCCCCTGACTGCAACTCCCGTCCCGCGCCCTCCTCGATTGCGAGCTCCACCACGCGCGCCCCGCAGAGCACCTCCATGAGCACCAGGCCCAGGCCCCAGATGTCCGCCGGGAAAAGGTCGCAGGGGGGGTCGTCCAGCAACACCTCCGGGGCGGCGAAGGGCACAGTGCCACAGGGGCTGTAGCACATTTTGCCCTCCTACTCGATGGCGATGGCGAGGTCGACCAACTTGATGGTGACGGTTCCGGGCGTCTCATTGACGATGATGTTCTCCGGCTTGGTGGGGGGGTCGTGTTCATGTAGAAGTACCCGAACTCTGGAGCACAACCGCGCAAATAATCATCAGTTCCCACTAGATGACGAAGCCTTCGAAGTCGTAGTAAGCACTGCTGAAGTGAAGTGTGAAGTGCTTTCTTCTTCCAAAGGCTCGCCCGTGCAGTCCGTGTCTGCCATCGCGTCAAAGTCGGCGAAGTTTGTCGGCTCCAGATTCAAGTGGCATCCTTGGCGCCGACATCTCAATATGTCCTCCTTGCCGTGGTCTACTTATGCGAAGAAGTGTGTTGACCTTCTCAGAGCTCCCTTGTTGTGATGGATGATATTCCTGTTGGTGTCGCCCAGCTTTTTTCCAGTCCAAGTATTGTATGCACCCAGTCTTCCCCTCCGGCGGGTCTCGAGGGGCTGTCCTGGACAGCGATGTCTGGCTTTCTGAGACCAGCAAACACCCGAATGCGCATGTATGTCCACCACCTCCTTGCACCTCGCACACTCTAGAGTCTTGGTCTCGTAGTTCGTGAAAGGCTTGAGGAACAGGTGAAGCGAGATGTCCTTCTCCGCGGATCTGTTGTGAAAGATCATTTGCTCTTCCCTTCTGCGCAGAAACCGATGCTTGATACTATCAAGGAATTGCTGTTCTTCTTTTGTGAAGTCTGTGATTTGCCGAAGTACGTTGTGATTCAGCTTGTGTCGCTTGGCCCCCTTCGTAACCTGGATGCCCGAGATAGGTGATGATGCCAAGAGTGACGGTGTACTCGGTGGTGCACTCGAACTTCTTGGTGCGCTATCAGTTTTCCCTGGCGTCGGTGCTTTGCGCGTAGCTGGCGCTGTTGATGAGGCTCTTTCTTGTGTTAGCTTTCCTCGTGGCCGTCGATATCTGGGCACGGGAACTTGGCTGGAGAGGCTACCTTTCCAGAGCGGTCTGAAAGTGTAAGTGGCAGGGAAATGCATGTCCGACCGTGGTTTTGTCTGTTCCTCCGCAGCGTACAACGATGCCTAATTGAAGAGCAGACTGTTGATAGCTTCGGGATTGAAGTGTGCGTAGCCCTCCCGTGGCCCCCGTGCTTTTTGATGGGCCGAGCGGCATCAGCTGTCGGCGCTCTCTGACAGGGGGAAAAGGGGCCCGCGTCTTCTTGGACGTCTCCGTGTAAGACTGTCCATTCGAGTGTCGGCCCATGTCGTGAGAATAAGTTTGTCGTGGCTGCGGAGAACATCTTGGCTTGCGTTCCGACAGACACGGCGCGCCCCTCCACTCCACGTCGCGCGAAACATTCCCCAGCGGCCAAGCAAAAGCCCAGGGGGGGCGCGATGTCGGCCGTCTGCGTGGTGGCCAGGGTCTCGTACATGACTGTGTCCTGGTCGACGTCTGGCGCGTCGTCGACGTACGTCGTGGGCAAGCACCAATGCAAGGGTTCGATCAACGATGGATTCCAAAACCAATCTATCTTCCCGAATGTCGTGGTAGCCAGGTCTGTCCCTTTCAGCGGTGGCTGTCGTTGCTTTGCGGTGCGAGGTTCCCACCAGTAGTGTGGGAATGCGCTCTCTTTCGTGGCTGTTGCGTCGAGTGGTGCTGCTTGTGTGGCTGTAGTCGGGGCCGCTTCACTCTGTGCTCGGTCGTGCGGGGATGCTGCTTTCGAGCTGCCCGTGCCCAGCAAA